GGTAACAGTGGGGACAGGGAAATTGAAGACCTCGGTGTCCATAACAGCCGCCGTGCGGGAAACTGAAGCCGAGCAGAGCCCTGTGGTGGAGAAAAGAAGTACCCTGGTGTCCTCGTGGCACACATCACCAATTTTGTACGGTGAGAAGCTGGGTCTTTGCTTATTAGTGTCCTGAAGCAGGCTCCTGCTGGGGAGCCTCCAGCTCCGAGCTTTTGTCTCAGCCTCCTGGGTTTACAGACATGTGTAATTTATTATTTGATTTTTTTAAAATAGTACTTTGGACTAATGAGTTCAGGAAAGCAAAATGCATGGGAAAGAAAACTGAGAAGGGCATTTTTCACACATCGTGAAATGAGTGATGAACTTTGTGACAAATGACACAGTGTGAGTACTGTCACAGTGTTGCAGCTGTATCGTTGGCCAGCTGAAAACTCTAGACCCCAATCTGCTCTAGGGGCATCAACAGCTACTTCAGATTTAATTAAGATAGCAGTTGACACCTCAAGATGAGATTCATGTGAGTCTGCAAGGCTCAAATAAATCAAATCAAAAATAAAAGAGGAAATGCCACCAACACTGATGTAATACACTGCCATCCCATTGATCAGAAATCCTAAATTGTGTCGAGATCAAGACACTGATGGGCTGCATTTATTCCAGAGGCTGTGGGTCCGTGTTTGTTCAGATTTTTGGCAAATTTTTCAGTCCCCTTGTACACAGCTCCATGCCTCTCATAACCAACCACACATAAAACAAAGGCCTAATGAAGACGTTTACACGTTACATAAAATCTTCCCACGATGACGTTTTCCTTCCTCTTTTAATCACTTTACCATCCGTCATCATCCTGTATGCCTTCTCTGCCTGGCATATGTGTTATCAGGAACGACCAACTGGATAACTCAGAGAAATCTCTGACGCGTACATGCTACCCTCTTAGTCATATCCTCGAAGGCTCTTTGTCCTGTTCGGCAATGATAAGGCATGTCCTCAGATTAAAACATGGGTATCCTACCCGCAATGTGTGTTGTTAACACATGGCACAGTGTGTCAGAGGAAAGAGAAGAGAATCAGAATACTGACTTGTTCCAAGATATTGTGTTTGTTTATCATGCTGTGTCATTTCTTTTCCCGTGAAAAGCATGCAACTCTACAGGCATCTCCTCATGTATGGCAGGCCTGCTGGCATATTAAGATGAGCTATCATAATCCCCTTTGATGTGGCTGTTCATTGTTATAAGCGTGATCCCATCTTTGTTCTAGTTACAAGAAACTTTTCCCTTGCTCTACTTAATAATGTTGAGAAAAATCCACAAGTGTGCTCGGGCACACATACACAATTTATGTGCATCTTAACATCTTTAAATAAAGGGGGCCTTCTTAAAACTTAATTTAGTTGCATGCCCCAAAAAATAATATTTATTTTGGGAGACGGGATCTCACTATGTAATCCTGGCTGACCTGGAACTTCTTGAAGCAGTCTGGCCTTACGCTCACAGATATCTATTGTCCCTGTCCCCCAAGGGCTGGGGTTAAAGGTGTGCATCACCAAGCTTGGCAAAGATACTGAACTCATATATATATATATATATATATATATATATATATATATATATATGATGGGAGATGTCATTCTGTATATGTTTCTCATACTGGTTAATAATAAAGCACTGTTGGCCAATAGGAAAGGAAGATAGGAGGGACTAGGAGACAAGGAGGAAATAGGAAGTAGGAAGGAGGAGTCAAGATGGAGAGTCTGGAGAAAGCAGTATGCCGCCGGCTCCCCGGTAAGAGAAATACATAGAAATGGGTTAATAATTAAGACAGAGCTAGCCGATAAGAAACTAGCACCTGACCAACAGCATTGTATCAAATACAGAGTCTCTGTGTATTATTTGGGGCTGGTGCGGCAGCAGGACAAGACCGGGCGGCAGAAGGCGGAAAAACAGTACACCTTACATATATATATATATATATATATATATATATATATATATTTTTTTTTTTTTTTAATACGTTCTTTCTCTACACAATTAAGAACTTCCAGCTCTTAAATACTACAGGTGTCCCTAAGGCATTACTCTATTTTCATTTCTACTGCAGTAATAGGACACTCTTGACAAAGAGAAGCTTAGGACAGAGGACTTATTCACCCTGCAGCTCCACGTTACAACCTATCACAGAGCGGGAGCTAAGGCAGGAATTCGGGCAGCTCGTCACATCACACCCACAATCAAGAGCAGAGAAAAACAAAAGCATGCCTGCCATGACTGCATGCGCTCAGCTAGCTTTCTTTCTTAACAGTCCAGGAACAGACATGGCGCACAGTAGGTTGCATCTTCCAGAATCAGTCAGGAATTAATATTCTCCCATACTGATGTGCCCACGGGCCAATAACACTGAAATGTTGCCTTCACTTAGGTCTTTAGGGCCAACAGATAGCCATAGTAGTTGATTCCTTATAAATATTTCTAGAAGTCCCCCACATACGTAGTGAGATATCCACCCCGCCCACACCTGACGGAGGTTTATTCGGGAAAACTCACTTAGCCGGCTCCTACTCCAAGGATTTTCTCTACCCCCGACCCAGAAGTGGGTGCATCCAGGTCTAGACCCAGACCTAGACTCCACCAGCCACGCCCACACCTGTCCCCACGCCCCCCAATGGGCGTGGTCAGAACAACAGGTGTGGGCGGGGTGGATATCTCACTACACACACATCTTTTTATCTGGACTTTACTTGATCACGAGAACAGTCATTATTAATGATCTCCCCTTGGGTATCTTTTGGTACAATGATTTCTTCAGTATTCCTTGCTCCACAGTTAACATTTTTATCTCCAGGATGAATGAAAATAGTTTCTTCTCTTCGGGAAACCAGAAAATGGAAAGATCTCCCATGCTCTTTGATAGGCAAGATCAACATAGTAAAATTGGTAATCTTGCCAAAGCAATCTACAGATTCAATGCAATCCCCACCAAAATCCTAGCACAATTCTTCACAGACTTTGAAAGAATAATACTCAACTTTAAGTGGAAAAACAAAAGACCCAGGATAGCCAAAACAACCCTGTACAATAAAAGAACTTCTGGAGGCATCACCATCCCTGGCTTCAAGATCTACTATAGAGCTGTAGTCCTGAAAACAACTTGATATTGGCACAAAAAATAGATAGGAAAACCAATGGAATTGAATTGAAAACCCTGATATTAACCCACATACATAGGAACACCTGATTTTTGACAAAGCAGCTAAAATTATACAATGGAAAAAAGAAAGCATCTTCAACAAATGGTGCTGGCATAACTGGATGCTGGTGTGTAGAATTCTGCAGATAGATCCATGTCTGTTGCCACGCACAAAACTTAAGTTCAAATGGATCACAGACCTTAATATAAATCCAGTTACACTGAACCTCTTAGAAGAGAAAGTGGGAGGTACCCTTGAATGAATTGGTACAGCAGACCCCTTCCTGAGCAAAACACCAGTAGCACAGACACTGAGATCAACAATTAATGACTGGAACCTCCTGAAACTGAGAAGCTTCTGTAAGGCAAAGGACACAGACGACAAGACAAAATGGAAGCCCACAGAATGGGAAAAGATCTTCACCAACCCCATATCTGACAGAGAGTTGATCTCCAAAATATACAAAGAAATCAAGAAGCTAATCACCAAAACACCAAATAATCCAATTAAAAAGTGGGGTACAGAACTAAATAGAGAATTCTCAATAGAGGAATCTGGGAGGAAACCCAGTCACAAAAAGATGAACGTGAGCCTTCATCCAGGAGCTGATAGAAGCAGAAGACACCCAGAACTAAACACTGAGCTGAAACTCTTGGAATCCAGTTGTAGAGAGGGAGGAGTGATGATTCAGGGGTCAAGACCAGGCTGGAAAAACCCACAGAAACAGCTGACCGGACAAGGGGGAGCTCATGGACCCAGAGTGATAGCTGAGAAACCAGCATAGCCCTGAACGTGGGTCTCAGCTAGGAGGCCTGGGCAGTCTAAGGGACCTCTGACCATGGAACCAGGATGTATCCCTGGTGCACGAATGAACCTCAGGAGCACATTCCCCATGGAGGGATACTCCCTTAGCGTAGAGATGGGGGTGGCCTAGGCCCTACTCTAAATAACTTGACATATTTTGAGGATCCCTCATGGAATGCCTCAACCTCACTGGGGATTGGATTGGGGGTGAGATGGGGGCTCTGTAGAGGGCACAGGAGGATGGGAGGAAGAAGGAACTAGGATCCATATGTAAAATAAGAAAAATATTAAATTTTAAAAAAATAGAGAGCACAAACAGGACAGTCTCGGACTCTTTTACCTACTTGTGGGATCCTTCTTCTCCCATGGGTGGCCTTGTCCAGCCTTGTGTGGCAGTATGTGCTTAGTCTTAATGAAGCTTGTTATGTGGGATGTGCCTGAGAGGGTGTGTGTGTGTGTGTGTGTCTGCGTGCACACGTGTGCAGCCACATACAGGTGCATGTGTGTGTACATGAGTATTCTCCGGATATTACTAGCAAAAATAAGAAGTCTGTTTTCAACCTAATATGAATACACATATACACATATACAAATGTCTAGAATTTTAATAAATCCAGTCACTTCAAACTGATCTCTGCATATTCACACAGAGATCTTTAATTCCTGAATTCACAACTGAAAACTCACTACATTGGTCTACTTAAATATTTCAACTGAAGCTGTCAGAAGCGCGGTTCTCGGTACCATGCTGGTGGTCCGTGATGCTGAAGCCACACAAGTGCTTCCCTGGAGTCCTGACCAAACACAAATGTGTCCAAATCTAGGGAAAGGGCCTGAAACCAAATAATCCCATCATTTGCATCTCTATATTTACAGAAAAGAATTCTTTGGTAAACAAATTGAGTGTGTTTGGGTGTGGTACGTGAGCATCTTCCTCCTGTGACACAAATCAAGGGAGTTGACAAGGACACATTTCGCTGCAGCCTCCAAAGAGCAACCACCCAGGATGGCTCAGCCCATCAACCATTGGAGACACGATGTGCTACCACTTGTCATCTGACAGTTGTGGCCACAGAGTTCGTCATTGGTATCATCATTGCGAACGGGAACATCGTGGCTGTGAATGTGGTCCCTTGGTTTCAGAGAAAGTCAGCTTCTGTAAACACTAGGGTTCTGCTTTTCCTGAGTGTGTCAAGAAGTGTTGTTTTGGTAGGAATTACCTTCTCTGTATTCAAGGTTTCTTTTTACAGCAGGGTTTCTTCTAGCATCTCCAAAGTAAGTTTCGTATTCTTAAATTACTGTGGCCTCTGGTTTGCAGCATTGCTTAGGTTTCTCCGCTTTGCGAAGATTGCAAATTTTTCTTACCCCTTGTTCCTCAAGCTAAAGTGGAGAATTCCTGGATTAATGCCCTGGCTTCCGTGGCTCTCTGTGTTCATTTCATTCAGCTCCAGCATGTTCTTCTGCAAGGACACCTACACCGTGTATAACAATTCTCTAAGTTTCAGCTTCTTCAACAACACACTGGAAGTGTACTTCATTGAGACGAATGTGGTCAGCGTAGCTTTCATATTCAGTTTGGGAATCCTCCCTCCTCTGATCATATCCACTGGGGCAACCACTCTGCTGATTTTCTCCCTCAGGAGACACACCCTGCACATGAGAAAACAGGCCACTGGCTCCAGAGACCCCAGCAGAGAGTCTCACATGCGGGCCATCAGAGAAACCAGCTGCTTTCTCTTTCTCTATATTTCAAATGCAGCTGCTATGTTTGTGTTACTCAATGCCAACTTTTCCTGTAATGTTGTACTTAAAATCATCCTGCCTTGTTACCCAGCTGCCCATTCAGTTTCACTCATTCAGAACAACCCTGGATTAAGAAGAGCCTGGAAGCAGCGTCCGTCCCAAATCCATCTGTACTTGCAAAGTAGATTCTGACATCAGCTCCCAGTGAGGACCACACAATACAGACCACCAGCCCCTCATTACCCTTACCCGGATCTCTCCTTCCTCTCCAGCTTCCTTCACCAAATCCAACCCGATCCCTTCACCTGAGGCAAAGTCTCTGTATAGGACTACTCGCTAGTGTTTTGTGGGCACAATCTTAGTGATGTTAACTCGTTCTTGTCCTTCGCTCTCTGTCTCCCTCCCCTTACTCTACCTCAGACAGTGACTCTTGTTGCCCAGCACACAGTGGAATCCCTAGGGCTAACTTGAATCTAATCCAGTTTTGCATTTCACAATAGTCAAGTGAGAGTTTCTGTTGTCCTGACTTAGAAGCTTTTCTAAGTATTCAGGGTGATTCCCACATGCAGTCAAAGTTGATGCAGATACCAGAGCAGAGACTTCTAAAACATGAGTTCCTGATCACTTCATGTGCCTTTCAACCCTGTGGGGCTTTTCTAAGCAACATCAGAAAATGCACTTGTGTCCCACCCTCCAAAGATACAAGCTAACAACTTTGGAGAGAGCTCTCAAAGTTGACAATACAAAAAAAAAAAAAAAAATCCCTCAAACTAAAAACTGTCATCTGACATTGTGGTTTCTAAATACATGGTTTTATGAATTTGTGGAGCCTCGAAGCAAACACAAGAATTTTACTGTGCTGTTGCTCTTAATAAGGAAACCTGCGTATCGAAACTACAATATTATTGTGGAGCTCACAATAATACTTATTACCTGTGTGTGTGTGCATGAGTGCACGCCTTGACATGCATGTGGGAGTCAAAGGGCAACTTGAAGGATTCAGTTCTCTCCTTCTACCAAGTGGATCCCGGGACTCAAACTCAAGTCACCCGACCAGGCGGCAGGTGGTGAGCCATCTCAACAGTCCTGTGTTTACATTTTTTTTTTTTAAAAGGAGATAGCTGCATGTATATAGATTATAAGAGTTCTGTTAGGAGTAAGGTTTTTCTGCCAGCCTGGACCCACCGTGGCGCCAGCAGAATGTGACTAACTGTGAGATTTGTGGTGAACAGAGACACTTGACTCAGGGTCTCCAGGCTGGGAAGTCCAGGGGGAGACGCTGTGTGCTGCGGAGCCCATCTTTCTGCGCGCGTCCTCGGGTCCTCGCGCTTACAACTGAGCCACCACGCCAGCCCCGTGTTGCAGTTGGGACATCATTTTCAATACGTGAAGCTTGGGGGTCCACAGTCAAAACGGCACCCAGTAACACATTTCTCGCCGACCTGTCCATGAAGCTCTTAGTTTGCCGATCCATACACATGTGACCCCGCACTCGGAAACTGCAACATTTTTAATGGAGTGCTCTGGACTGTGGGCACAGGTGGCATCCAGTTTGCAGTGGCTCTGACAACAATTCTTCGACTGTCTGACGGTTTGCCGGGACATGGAAGGCATTTTGAGTTTACAAACCTTTTGCCTTGTGAGCTTCAATGCAGGCAGAGAAGCATTTCCATCCGTCTGGTCCCCAAACACTCCTCTCTTTTCCTGCTTCTATCTTCATTGTTCAACAGTTTTGCACCCGTTAACCTCTCTCATCCCCCCTCTTCACCCCTGAAACCCTCCTCCCCAATTGCCCCCTCCTCCTGCTTCCATGTCTTGTGGGTGTGACCTACTGAGTTTCACTAGACTCGCTTGCAAGAAGCTAAATGGCCATGCGGTCAAATCGCCTCTCAAACACTCAGTGCTGTTCCCAGGCTTCTCCGGGAAGCTTCTCGCTGTATTGGGTAGAACTGGACACTGGAGAGTCACTCTCCTTTAGTTTTCTGACCTTCTGCTTCCGTACGCTCGCTTGTGTAAAAACGGTGTAAGCTAAAAAGAAAAAAGAAAGTGTTTATGTGCGTGTGCGTGTACATCTAAAATCTGGGTGAGACCTTTGTCTTCTGGATATTAAACGTGATGTTTCTAATTCCCTGCCACCCCATTAGTATGAGTCTTAGCAATCTGCCTCTTTTGATTCTATCAGCATAGTAAAACCATACCCTCATTCGTCAGCTAGTCATAGCTAAGAGAAATCCTTTACTTGGCCCTAAAGTAAAGCAAAGCTGATGCCGCATTTAGATAGCCATGTGGCGATGAGTATAAGAAGAAGCTGGATTTGGCTGCTAACGAACTTGGACAACAAAAAAGCTACAGCAGAACAGCAAAGAAAGGGAAGGGTGTGGAGTTTACAGGAAAAGAATCAGTAAGAAGACTGGCAAAGTGGTCGAAAGTCTTAAAGTTAACTATCCGCTCACTTTAGAAATGCCAACTGTCATTCTCAGATTCAGCTCCCTTAACCACAAAAGTAAAGGTAATAATAATACAGATGTCATGGGAACGTTTATGACAGAAACTGAGATAATGTGTAAGTTGACATGAGGTAGCCATTTTGGTTGTTATGAATCAGGAGCAAGAGATGACGCTGAGTCACCCATTTCCAGACCTTGACCCATGACAAACTCAGCAGATGAAAAACAAACACCCCACTCTCTATTTCTACCTGCAGAGAGCTGTGTGAAATAAAGACTCTGTTGTTGTTGTTGTTGCCGCCGTTTCCTCTCGGAACAATTCCATGGTTCTTCCCACATGCCTTGCAATATGAACTTCAGAGTTTCTGGGTTTCTAAAAAGAGATAAATACAAAACAACGGCAAGTTAAGAGCAACCCTGGGATTCTTCGGTAAGCATAGATGCTTCAGATGGCTGCACTCAAGGAGGTCGGGTTCATGAGTTGCGATGGAAAACGCCACAAGAAGGTCATCCTTCAAGGAAGAAGATAAAGTTCCCTCTCCATCTCCTGAACCAATTCATACAGGAAGTCATAAACACAAGAGCCACCAAACAGGTGATCCCTGGGCTGTGCCAGCCAGTGTCCACAACAGGCACCATCCTTAACAGTCATCAACAATTCATCTTTTGTGGACGAAGCTCTCCAAATGAATGTTAAATACACACAAATAAACATGGTTGTTGGTCTTTTGGTCTCCACTGAGGATTTTGCTGTTTAAAGAAATAAAGCATTTTTGGTATTCAGAATGATGGCACACTTCCTTGTATCTTAACAGAACAGATTTTGAATAATATGCTGGGTGCTGAGAAAATTTGCAGGCATTCTGTACAGAGCCTTTTTCTAAGGGTGTTTCTCCAAGGCATACATCAGCATCACCTAAAACCGTGCTGGGACACAGGGTAGCAAAGCCAGCAGGAGATGTCTGAGAGCCGTCACTGAATCAAAGCAGACCGAGTCCAAAATAAAAATAAAATACATTTTCACAGGTTCAGTACACAAAATCTCCACCTCTTTGGTTAAGTTTATTCCTAAGTATTTTAGTATTTTTGATCCAACTGTAGTTAGGTCTACTTTCTTTTTTCAATTTTTTGTAGTAGTTTGTTGCTGATGTAAACAGACACTACTGATTTTTGGATGCTGGACTTCCTTATTCAGTCTAACAAATGTCATGACATCTTTAGGGGTTCATCCATGTTATTTGGAAGACGAGATCATTTTGCTTCATCTTTTTTATGAATAAATCCCCTTATCTGCTTTTGTTGTGAGTTTGTTTATATTTGTTTAAAGACATTTTCTGATTTCTCTGTTGATTTCTTCTTTGGAACACTGATGACATAATTTAAAAAAAAAAGTACACAAACAATTAAAAAGATACCTGAGTTCTTGGACTGAAAGAATTAATTTTTCCCAAATGTCCACACTACTCAAAGTGATCTATAGATTCAATATGATTCATATCAAAATCCCAATACCATTTTTACAGAAATAAAAAGGAAAACTAGGTATGGTTGTGCACTCCTGTAATCCTAACATTTAGAAGCTAAAACAGAAGGATTATTAGTTCCCAGAAGCCTGGGCTATAGAATAAGATCAGGTCAGGAAAAAAAAAAGAAAAAGAATACGAAATCCATAAGGTACCATGGGAAATCCACAATAGTCAAAGTAATATTATCAAGAACAAAACAGAAAGAAGCATATTTCATGACGTCAAGACTTTATTACAAAGTCACAATGATATTAAGATCACAACAGTGGCCAACAAAATAGACTGGAGATCCCAGAAGTCTACCCACACATTTATCGAAAAGGACCTTTGACTACAAGGGCAAAAATATACAATAGACAAAGGCTAATCTCTTCAGTAAATGGTGCTGAGAAACTACATACCCACTGGAAATAGATGAGGGAAGTCCCTTATTTTATAACATATATTTAAATTTTAACTCAGGATTTATTGAAGCAAATATAAAAAAATGAAGCCTTGTATACATACCATCTACAATACGACGTGGAATAATCTTAACAGTGGTCTTGGTAATGATTCCTGAGATATCATATCAAAACTACAGGGAGCAAAACTGAAAAAAGGCAAACAGTACCACGTAAACTAGAAACGTTCATTAGCAAAAGCACCAAGGGAAACAACCCATGTGGATGGGAGAAAACATTTGTAAACACACACCTGATAAGTAACTGACATCTAAAATACACAAGACACTCATGCAATTCAATAGCAAAACCAAAACTGAAAATGAACAAGATATTTAGGGATACCTTTCTCCAAGGAAGGCACCCAGGCAGCCATCACGCATAGGGAAAGGTACTCATGGCTGCCGATCATCGTGGAAATGCAAATTAAACTCTCATTAAGTTATCACTTGTTAAGCTAGCTTTTAGAAAAAGAAAACAAATATTGGTAGAGTATCGAGACAAAGATTACCATGTAATTCTGGTTAAAAGGAGTAAGGAGGAGTAAAGATGAAGAGTCTAGAGAGAATTGGACGCCAGCCGGCTGTCCGGTAAGAGGAGACCATGTGGAGATTAATAGAAATGGGTTAATACTTAAGACAGAGCTAGCCGATAAGAAACTAGTACCTGGCCAACATTATATCTAATACAGAGTCTCTGTGTGTCATTTGGGGCTGGCGCGGGACAAGACTGGCGGCCGGAGGAAAAACCTTACTTCTTACATCCACTGATGACAC